CTGCGAGGGGCTTATCCTCACCACCTCAAAATCCACCGTGCAGGTTGCCCGCTTCACTTTTCGCCTAAATGGCAGGAATGGTACTTCATTTTTGTACTTTCTAGACTGGAGAAATTGAAACACATAACATCTCTGTTCTTTCAGAATTTAGTTTTAAAAACTTGATCCACATACAGCCTGTCACTGCCTCCAAGCACTGGTCTAACACCTCAATGGCTTCTTGGATCATTATCATATTGGGAGCTTTATCTACAGCCCCTTTGCTACTGATCCCCAGCATGGAATCCACCTTTTTCACAGCAGCCACAACATCTTTATCAAGCTCTACTCTGACCCCATGATCTCATTCCTGGTCCATCACTGCCAGTACAGACCCCATGAGCATATACAACATGTGAAATCAAGATTTTATATGCCCCAGTGTGTATCAGTTTACACTTGCTTGGATTGAATTGCATTTGCCATTTTACTGTCATTTTGGAGAGATCCTTTTGAATCCATTTATTCCTACTCTTTCCTTTCTGTTTCTAAATAGTTGCTATTGTTCTCTAGAGCAAATGTGCTTGTGGTAAATGGCTGAGGGGAGTTTGAAGGAAGAGATATAGAAGAGAAGGAGGGTGGGAGTGGGTGTCACTTTTCGGCCCCTGCAGTGGCAATCTTAACTTAAACTGACTGTGGCAGCACTGCAGAAAAATGATGTGCCCCTTTTGTCCTCCTTATAGCTTCCATGCTTCTCTTTGAAGTTATAGTGAGTGGAAACTTCAGCCCTGGTCCACCGAGGACAACATTCTAATACATGGTCAAATCTTGCATTCCAACAACTAGGGACTGACATCAATGGAAATTTTTTAAAAAAATCATTTCCAAGTAAATGTTGTTTAGTCCCAAGGTGCCAATTTTTAAGTAAGTTTGACACATTGTGTTCCTTTCAAGATGAAGGTTTATTGCTTATATATATCCTGCTAATGTTTCTAAGTAACTACAGTGGTTTTAAAGATATTTTACAATTTTTTCTCATTTTTTAAAAATAAGCTTTATTCATTTTCAATAAAAATCTTCCAATTAATGACAAATCAAATCATTCCAAATTACAATAATAACAATACCACCAATTATATACTCCAATTATAAAAAAAATTCAAAGGAGGACGCCCCATGTTCCAGGTGGCTAGAGATATTGTCCTCATTAAAGTCTTTGTGTTTTTTGCTATTTTCCATTTTCATAACTCTGATTTTTAACCCTCCTCATCTTCTCAGTCCATCAGTCGCTATTTCTGTGACTCACTATCTTTTTGAACAGTTCCTTATATTATTAATACTCAGGAGGCATTTGTATTCCATATTATTCTCTGTCCAATTATTTTGAAGTGCAGTCCTCTTTCTTTGATCTCTCCTTCATTCGACGAAGTCCTGTTAAGGCTCTGGGCTTCATTCCAAAACTGAAGTTTATGGCGGCGTATCAACAAATTCTTTCTGATATCTCTTAATATGCTGGTGTGTCTTTATGTTTCCATTACAATACAATACGATACGATAATCTTTATTGTCATTGTCCCAAACAGAACAACGAAATTAAGTACTGTATTGTGGGGTATGTTTCAGGATCTGTATGTTATATGAGAATTATTTCAGTTTCTTGTAAAGGAGCCCCCCCCCCCCAGTTCTTTCAGGCCCATACAAGCAGATGTGTCTTAGAGCAAAGTATACCCCTTTTGTAGTCCAAATGAATTCCATTCTTTTTGTAACTGTGCAGTACAGCCACCATCTCTTCCCCCACCCTGTCCTCAGCCCAAGAAGCTTTCATATCAGATCTTACTCTGTCAGTTCCAAATAGAGTTCTCTAATGAGGGCTGTGCATCGTACATTCAATTGAAATTTGACCTCTTGTGTTTCCTTTGAATAATTAATTTCTTTCTGGGTGAGCTTTGCCAAATCATGAGGCAACAGATATGACGAATGCAAAAAGACAGCAGTCGCTCACCTCATTAATCCACGCATTAAGATGAGAGTCCTTTTAGAGTCTGAAACTTAGCATCCAGTGACTGTATAATTAGGCAGATTTTTCCGTTTATCTCCTTCCATCTGGAACATGCCGGTTTTTGGTCCGAATCTTATTACGTTTTTGAAAACAGGTATTTTTTGTTCATGGGAGTGGCTCCAGAGAGTGCCCGGCTCATTCTGTGAAAATTTTCCCATTCTTGATTATTATTTTTGTTATCTTGATGTCTGATCTTCATGGTCATCTTTGCCATTTCAGTATAGTCCATCATTTTGTTAATCCACTCTTCTTTTGTTTGGACCTTCTCTTCCTTCCACATCTGGGCTAACAACATTCTTGCAGCTGTTGTCACATTCATAAACAGTCTTTTCAGGTCTCTTGGTATTTCTTCTCCTGTTAAGCCTAGTAAGAAGGCTTCTGGTTTTTTATTAAATGTTGTCTTAAAAAATAATAATAATTCATTATATACCATTTCCCAGAAGTCCTTTACTACCTTTCATAATCACCACATATGATAGACAGTACCCTCCCTATCCTTATATTTCCAGGATAACTTAGATGTATTTTTGTACATTTTTACCAACTTTACTGAAGTGAAATACCAATGGTCCATCATTTTCATATAGTTTTCCTTCAATGCACAACAAGCCATAAATTTTAAATTCTCTTTCCAGAACCTCTCCCATAAATTAATTGGTATGTTATAACCTACATCCTTTGCCCAGGGTATCATCACTACTTTTACTTCTTCATCTTTTGACTCCCAACAGTAGTTTATACATTTTTGATAGAAATTTACCATTATTTCCCAATAGTTCTTTTTCAAACCTTAAAAATTCCTTCCCGAAACCCACTCCTTCATTACACCTGAATATATCATTGAGTTGGTGATATTGTAACTAATCTGTTAACAAATACCTTATATCATCACATTCTTTCAATTTTAATTGGTTTTCCACCTCTCTTAACAATTCCTTATAAGTCGCCCATTCTCCTTTCATACTGACTTTTTTGACCAATATTGCTTCTAATGGGGAGAAGCACCATCACGTTTCCCCCCCACACACACACACAGATTTTTGTACTTTTCCTATACTTGATAACTTGATTTTCTTATAATGTGGTTCAGAAATCCCTTGTGTTCTTTCGTTTTCCCATACCACAAATAAGCATGCCAACCATATCTTTTATCATGTCCTTCCAAATCCAATACCCCTGAATTTTTAGTAGTACCCACTCCTGTAGCCAGCAGAGACAGGGCACTTCATAATATAATTTCAAATCTGGCAGAGAAAATCCACCTCTCTCTTTAGCATCTGTTAACAATTTGTATTCAATTCTGGGCCAAACAAATTTAGAAATATCCTTTTGCCACTGTTTAAAGTTTTCTGTTCCTCTGACCACAGGTATCAATTGGAATAAAAATAGCCTTCTTGACAATACATTCATTTTATCACTGAGATTCTTCCCCACAAAGACAAGTTCATCTTTACCCATACCTCCGTGACTCTCTTTATTTCATTCCAAACCTTTAAATAGTTATCCTTAAAAATATTTATATTCTTAGCTGTTAGCCACACCCCTAGATATTTCACCTTCTTTTCTACCACAAACTCTGGACTTTGTATAAATTTATTTTTCTTTTGTTCTGTCATATTCTTTGAGAAGACTTTTGCTTTGGTTTTATTAAGTTTAAAACCAGCTACTTGCCCAAATTGAGTATTTTTTTCTAGCACCCTTGGTATTTTTGCAAGGGATCCTCAACAGTTATTACCAGGTCATCTGAAAATGCTTTCAATTTATATGATTTGCACCCTACTGTGATTCCTTTTATATTTTCATCCATTCTTATATTTCTCGCTAATGTTTCCAAAGTCAAGATAAACAGTAAAAGAGACAGGGGACAACCCTGTCTCATTCCCTTAGTTATTTTACATTTTTCAGTTATAACATTATTCACTAACAACATCGCTTATTGTTCTGAATATATTGCGTCTATTCCATTCATAAAGGTCTGTCCAAAGTCCATCATTTCAATTATTATTTTTTTCATATACGTCCAGGAGACGTTGTCAAATGTCATTCCTCACCTCCAAATATTCTATTACATTCAATATATTTCTTATATTGGCTTTCATCTGTCGGCCTGGTAAAAACCGAGCCTGATCTGAATGTATCAAATCTGTTGACTTGCTAAATGCAAGACGGTTCTTTTAAAATTAGATTCAGAAGCAATACAAATGCAAGTGAGTGAGAAGATTACAGGTTTTATTCCAAACAGCAAGCAAAATATATATTATCAAGCAGCACTTCAATCTGCCACCAAGAAACCCTGAAGAAGTGGTGAAGTGACCTCCAGGTAGCCTTTGATGCACAGCACTGCAGCAAAGAAGGGCAAAGATTTAATTCCCCAAGGGATTATTAAACTGCACATAGACATCCTAGCAATTTTTTTTTTTTATGGAAGGGTTTTCATGGATAACAAAGGAACATATAGCATTTCTATTTTCCGTCTTTTCTACAGGTCAGTTACATTTGGTGTGAGACACTGCTGTCATAGGCATTGTGAGTTGAAGGGGAGAGAGAGGGGTGGGGAAGAGAAGGGGAAGGTAGGGAATGCTTTCCAGGGTGAATTTTCTTAAGAAATATGGGAGTGACATATCCCAACAGAGGCTCCTCTGTCATTAGTGCTTCTCTCCCCTTTCTCTATCCAAAGTGAATAATTAGAGATAAGAAAAACTAACTAGAAAATTCCAGCAATACAACTGCTAACTAAGGGAGGATTCCAATCTAGAGAGAAACTTATCAAATTAAAGTTTAAAGTGGCAGAGAGGAAGAGAGGAAGAGAAAGAGAGAGATTAGACCAGAAACTGCTGAGGGAGCTAAGAAAAGGCAGCACTCTACCCCAGAGCAGATAGATCCCAAGGCTGGGAAACAACTGGAATTGGACCAGTTCCTCAAAGGAAAGGAGTTGGACATCACCACAAGTACTTTTTCTACCCTCAATAGGCATGCTGTGCTAGAACAAGACTCTGCTACACAGCATGAGGAAGCAAGAGCAGCAAAGAATCTTAGCCGCTCCTAAAACAACGGAGGAACACCCATGGTCACTGACAGAATTAGAAAAGGCAAGGTTACTAAGCAAATCTTTCTTATAACTGAGACTGTGATGAACCTATATGAGAAATGGAATCTTAAGAAATCTTGTAGTGCTTTTCATCAACACACATTGACAGTAATGGGTTCTGAAGGAATATTTCACATTCACTTATAAGTCTGCATTAAATCCATTATCTCTATGTACATGCGCTGTGGGGCATCATAGCCTATGACAAAATCCAGATGTTGCCATTCAGGAATATCCTTGTGGTAAACTAAGTTTGGGATCTGAGGCAGCAAGAGGGCCATGTCCTTTGAGTCTGCAAGCCAGTCGTTACCACCACTCCAGACAGCTGTTGGAAGAGTCATCCGTTGTACGTTGTGGAAAGGTGGTGTTGACTAAAAGAGAGAAGATAAAAGTTTAAAAGCAGTCTTCAAAGACTTCCTGATCAAAACACACACATATAGGTACAAACATGCAAAACACAAACATATTTCTTATTTGAGGAGAATGCAGGTTGAACTCTTAATGTGCGTAACAACTGGGCATTGTGCGCATTCATCAGAAGTTGTGCAAGAAAGTGCACATAATCCATCCATGAAGAGGAAATTGTGCAGATTGTCTGGTCAATCTACATCTCAGGGTTGTGGCTTCAAGCCTCATGCTGGGCAAATAAGTCCTGCATTGTAGGGGGTTTGACCCTATAATTTGATGATTCTATGATTTTTTGAGAACCTAAACTTTGTTCTTGTCCTTACTGTTACTAAGCAACTGAGCTTAGATAGTAACATTTGCTGATTTGTTTATTTGTTTTTAATATCAAGTGGCCAAGACCCTGAGCTGCAGGCCGCTCTGCTTGGTTGTAAATCCAGCACTGATTGTCTGGCTTTACTGATTGTTCCAAAAGAATGGAATGGTTTACATGTAGCTTTAAGCCAAACTATGACTGAGCATGAATGTGCACTCTGCCTAAGAGGAGAGCACAGACACTTTGACCCTTCTCTGGTCTCACTACTGCTGCTTTAGCATTAAGGAAAAAGCCAGGCTCATGGTTTGTCTCACTCCAAACAAACCACAAATGGAACCAAAGTTTGTTCTCGTATTTACAGCTCATTAGTGTGCAGAATTGCAACAGCAGGAGAGTCAAGGGAAGTGTGAAGTGACCAGGATCTCCTCTCAGGAAGCTCTTCCACACCAGCATTCATGGCAAGCTTTGGTTTGGCTTAGAGTTACCTACAAACCAGCTCAGTGTCTTTGACTCATTATTCCCAACAGTCATCCTTATTCCCAACAGTGATTCTTCCTACTGCTCCAGTTTTGTTAGCACTGAAGAAACATGATTGCAGTTTCAAGACAGACTGTTCTGACAAATTTCAAGTATGGCTGTTAGAACCAGACTTATATCTTAGTTAGCTAATCTATAGAGGGATAAATTTGAAAGAAAGAATGGAAGCAATCCTCATTGGTGTGATGTATTGCTTTATAAAAAAATGATCTTCATTATAAGACAGGGGAGTGAAGATAGGCACCTGGCATATGGCAGATTTGTCAACAAATTTACATTTGAGATACATTTTTTGGCTATAGAAATTAGATATTATCAAGGGAATCTGGAGACCATTCGCTATAGTAAATGTGCATCTAATTTAAGAGATATTTTGGCATATCCTAAAGTAAAGGGACACGGGTGGTGCTGTGGGTTAAACCACAGAGCCTAGGACTTGCTCTGTTCCCTGCTTCTGCCAACCTAGCAGTTCAAAAGCACATCAAAGTGCAAGTTGATAAATAGGGACCGCTCTGGCGGGAAGGTAAACGGCGTTTCCGTGTGCTGCTCTGGTTCGCCAGGAGTGGCTTAGTCATGCTGGCCACATGACCCGGAAGCTGTATGCCAGCTCCCTCGGCCAATAAAGCGAGATGAGCGCTGCAACCCCAGAGTCGGTCACGACTGGACCTAATGGTCAGGGGTCCTTTACCTTAAAGTAAATCCAAAACCTCTTTAACCCCCTAGATATGATCATGCTGGGCCAAATGAGGGTTGTGTAATGGTGGTAAAATGAATTCCTTGTGCAATCCTGATTTTAATCAAATTTACCACCTTAATGAAGCATATAACCACAATAATCAAGGGAGTGATTAATGATAATGCCTTTTATACATTGGCATTGCCACAATAAAGATTAAGATCTGGACATGGGAATGCAAAAGTTGCATAAGGACAAAAGAAACTCAATGTGTTATTGCTTAAACACTGTATAGAGGAGCAATGTGATGCTTAATCTAAAGTATTGGTGCTTTGAGAACATACATGGTTCAGAGAAACAATTGTAGACACAATTTAAAAGGAAGGAAATCAGAGAGATCTATAGATTAAGGACAGTAGCATCCAGTGGACTTAAGGAGAACCTAAAATGGGTGTCTGCTATGCAACAAGTTAAAGATGTACTTTTAATGGAAATTATGCCACATTTCTTGCCATATCAGTTATTATTGTAGTCACTATATTTACATAATGCATGGAATTTCTATGAAATGGAACTAGAAACCTGATTATCAATGCAGTTGCTATAGTTGGTAAAGTTATAGCAGATCCTCTTACATGAGTTGAACCTGTATCAACTGAAGTTAACTGGCTTTTGACTTCACATGAGCAAAGGTGATATTTGGATCTGATTTGGTGAGCATACTGTGATAAATGTCAGGTGCCCGTCCCTCCCACGGCCGAGTGGTGGCCAGAGCCCATGGGGTCCCAGGCACCCATACAGGGTTTGTGTCCCTTTGGGGAATGGAAGATGTTAAATGTTCAGAAAAAGTCAGAAGCCCAAGGCAATATAAGTTCCTCAGCTAAGTTTATTCAACATTTGTCAGTGACAACAACTCACACATGATGTTTAGTCTTTTAGTCGTGTCCGACTCTTCATGACCCCATGGACCAGAGCACGCCAGGCACTCCTGTCTTCCACTGCCTGCCGCAGTTTGGTCAGGCTCATGTTTGTAGCTTCAAGAACACTGTCCAACCATCTCGTCCTCTGTCATCCCCTTCTTCTTGTGCCCTCAATCTTTCCCAACATCAGGGTCTTTTCCAGGGAGTCTTCTCTTCTCATCAGGTGGCCAAAATATTGGAGCCTCAGCTTCACGATCTGTCCTTCCAGGGAGCACTCAGGGCTGATTTCTTTCAGAATGGATAGGTTTGATCTTCTTGCAGTCCATGGGACTCTCAAGAGTCTCCTCCAGCACCATAATTCAAAAGCATCAATTCTTCGGCAATCAGCCTTCTTTATGGTCCAGCTCTCACTTCCATACATCACTACTGGGAAAACCATGGCTTTAATTATACGGACCTTTGTTGGCAAGGTGGTGTCTCTGCTTTTTAAGATGCTGTCTAGGTTTGCCATCGCCTTTCTCCCAAGGAGCAGGCGTCTTTTAATTTTGTGACTGCTGTCACCATCTGCAGTGATCATGGAGCCCAAGAAAGTAAAATCTCTCACTGCCTCCATTTCTTCCCCTTCTATTTGCCATGAGGTGATGGGACCAGTGGCCATGATCTTTTTTCTTTCTTTTTTTTCTTTTTTTGATGTTGAGCTTCAAACCATATTTTGCGCTCTCCTCTTTCATCCTCATTAAAAGGCTCTTTAATTCCTCCTCACTTTCTGCCATCAAGGTTGTGTCATCTGCATATCTGAGGTTGTTTATATTTCTTCCGGCAATCTTAATTCCAGCTAGGGATTCATCCAGCCCAGCCTTTCGCATGATGAATTCTGCTTATAAGTTAAATAAGCAGGGAGACAATATACAGCCTTGCCTTACTCCTTTCCCAATTTTGAACCAATCAGTTGTTCCATATCCAGTTCTAACTGTAGCTTCTTGTCCCACATAGAGATTTCTCAGGAGACAGATGAGGTGATCAGGCACTCCCATTTCTTTAAGAACTTGCCATAGTTTGCTGTGGTCAACACAGTCAAAGGCTTTTGCATAGCCAATAAAGCAGAAGTAGATGTCTTTCTGGAACTCTCTAGCTTTCTCCATAATCCAGCGCATGTTTGCAATTTGGGCTCTGGTTCCTCTTCCTCTTCTAAATCCAGCTTGCACTTCTGGGAGTTCTCGATCCACATACTGCTTGAGCCTTCCTTGTAGAATTTTAAGCATAACCTTGCTAGCGTGTGAAATGAGTGCAATTGTGCGGTAGTTGGAGCATTCTTTGGCACTGCCCTTCTTTGGGATTGGGATGTAGACTGATCTTCTCCAATCCTCTGGCCACTGCTGAGTTTTCCAATCTTGCTGGCATATTGAGTGTAGCACCTTGACAACATCATCTTTTAAATTTTTAAATAGTTAAGCTGGAGTATCATCACTTCCACTGGCCTTGTTATTAGCAGTGCTTTCTTTTTTATATATATATAATATTTTTTATTGCTTTTTTTCCAAGGTCAAGATACATCATCAATAACACAACAAAAGCAGTTTTACAGAAAAAAAAAGAAGAAATTGTATACAAGAAAATTCACTTTTCCCGATCTTTTTTCATGATCAACTAGACTTCCCCAGATCTTCCGTCCCTGCTTTCTTTACAATAAAAATAAACAGCAAATTGCAACCTTGTTTCATATGTTTTTGTACTTTCTTCTAATTATATATTCTAAAATTTAAAGTTTTCACAGTCATAACTTAGTTTCCATCATTCTCAAATCTCAATACTGAAGCATGTTTTTCCCAAAAACTTAGCAAATTCTCAACATTCATATAACTTGTAGTGTTTTTGTAGATAGTCCTTAAATTTTTTCCAGTCCTCTTCCACTGCCTCTTCTCCCAGATCTCGGATTCTGCCAGTCATTTCAGCTAATTCCATGTAGTCCATCAGTTGCGTATGCCACTCTTCCAGCGTGGGTAACTCCTGTGCCTTCCAATATTTGGCTATAAGGATTCTTGCTGCTGTCGTTGCATATAAAAATAAAGTTCTATCTTTCTTTAGCACTCTCTGGCCCACAATGCCCAGGAGGAAGGCCTCTGGTTTCTTATGAAAGGTATACTTATATACCTTTTTCAACTCATTATAAATCATTTCCCAAAAAGCCTTCACCCTCGGGCATGTCCACCAGAGGTGAAAGAATGTTCCTTCAGCCTCCTTACATTTCCAACATTTATTGTCTGACAGATGATATATCTTTGCAAGTTTGACTGGGGTCATGTACCACCGGTATACCATTTTCATAATGTTTTCTTTTAAGGCACTACATGCCGTGAATTTCATACCGGTGGTCCATAACCTTTCCCAGTCTTCGAACATAATGTTGTACCCAATGTCTTGTGCCCATTTTATCATAGCTGATTTAACTGTCTCATCTTGAGTGTTCCATTTAAGCAACAAGTTATACATTCTTGAAAGCACTTTCGTCTTAGGTTCAAGTAGTTCTGTCTCTAATTTTGATTTTTCCACCTGGAAACCAACTTTTTTATCCTTTTTAAAGATCTCTAAAATTTGGGCGTAATGAAACCAGTCTCGCACCTTTCCCTTCAACTTTTCAAAACTCTGCAACCTCCACGTGTCACCAACTCTTTCTATTATCTCAGAGTATTTTGCCCAGCCACCCTCCATGTTAAGTAGTTTTATGGCCTTAGCCTCCATTGGTGATAACCACCTCGGGGTCTTACTTTCAAATAAGTCTTTATATTTAGTCCAGACAATGAATAAAGCTTTCCTGACAATATGGTTTTTGAACAACTTGTGAAACTTTATCTTGTCGTACCACAAGTATGCATGCCACCCAAAAGCATTGTTAAACCCTTCCAGATCTAGGACATCAGTGTTTTCTAATAAAAACCAATCCTTCATCCAGCAGAAGGATGCAGCTTCATAATACAATCTTAAGTCCGGCAGGGCAAATCCCCCTCTTTCCTTTGCATCTGTTAGTATTTTAAATTTTATTCGGGGCTTTTTGCCCTGCCAGACAAACTTCGTGATGTCCCTCTGCCACTTTCCAAAACACTCCCCTCTGTCCACGATCTGAAGGGTTTGAAACAGAAACAACATTCTTGGCAATACATTCATCTTGACTGCTGCAATTCTTCCCAACAAGGAAAGTTTCAGTCTTGACCAAGTTTCTAAGTCCTTTTTAATTTCAGACCAACATTTTTCATAATTATCTTTAAACAAATTCAAATTTTTCCCAGTCAAGTTGACCCCCAGGTATTTCACTTTTGTGACCACATTTAGTTCCGTTTCTTTCTGAAACCCCTCTATTTCTGATGTTGTCAAGTTTTTTGCCAGGACCTTGGTTTTTTGTTTGTTCAATTTGAATCCCGCCACCCGACCAAACTCAGAGATTAATTCTAAAGCTCTTTTTGTACTGGGTTCTGGCTCCTGTAATGTCAAAACTAAATCATCTGCGAAGGCCTTCAGTTTGTATTGTTTTCCTCCGACCTGTATTCCTTCCACCCGCTGATCCTTCCTAATCAAGTTCAGCAACACCTCCAGGACAGAAATAAATAGCAAGGGTGATAAGGGGCACCCCTGTCGTGTCCCTTTTTCAATTTTGAACTCCTCTGTCACCACATTATTTACTATCAATTTGGCTTTTTGTTCTGAATAGATTGCTTCAATACTATTTTGGAACGCCCTACCCACTCCCATCCCTTCCAAGTTTTTCTTCATAAATTTCCAAGATATATTATCAAAGGCCTTCTCCGCATCTATAAAAATCAAAACTGCTTTCGTGTTCACATTTGTCTGTAGTAACTCCAAAACATCAACGATATTCCTGGTGTTGTCAGACAAATGCCTGCCTGGGAGAAAGCCAGCTTGGTCTTTATGAATTACTTCATTTAATACTTTTTTCAGTCTATTTGCCAAAATATCAGCAAAAATTTTGTAATCCACATTTAGGAGTGAGATGGGTCGGTAGTTCTTAAGTTGAGTCTTTTCAGATTCCAATTTTGGTATCAAAGTGATGAATGCCTCTCTCCACGATTCTGGTGCCCCTTTCCCTTCCATAATTTGGTTACATACCTCCATTAGTGGCTGCACCAAATATTCCTTCAATGTCTTATAATATTTGGAGGTAAGTCCATCTGGGCCTGGGGATTTGCCTAATTGCATATTCTGAATGGCGCTTTCAATTTCCTGTTGTGTTATTTTGTAATTCAGGGATGTTTGTTTATCTTGTGTTAGTTTTTGCAGGCCATGGTTTTTTAAGAATTTATTTATCTCGGTCTCTACTTGGGGTTCTTGAGTAAACAATTTTTTGAAATATCTCTGGAAACACTTTCTAATTTCCTCTGGTTTCTGAATACATTCTCCTTCAACCTCCAAATTGGTAACAAAGTTCAATTTTTGTCTCTTTTTCAGCTGCCATGCCAGCAGCTTCCCACATTTATTTGCTGATTCAAAAGATCTTTGTTTCATCTGTTTAATTTTCCATTCAACTTCTTGATTTATCAATTTTGTATATTGTGCTTGATGGAATTTTATTTCTCTTAAGACTTCTTTTGATTTTGGATTTAGTCTCAACTTTTTCTCACCGTCTCTTATCTTCTCCAAAATCTTGTCCTTTTTACCATTCCAGAGTTTTTTCTTGATAGTATTCTGTTGTATCAGAAACCCTCTCATAACAGCTTTACTCGCGTCCCAGATTATTTTCTTTTCCACCGAAGTATTCAAATTTATTTCAAAGTAGTCTTTCAATGTTTTTTGGGCCTTCTTCACAATCTCCTGATCTCTAAACAAAGAGTCATTCATTCTCCATCTGAAGGATCCAGCTGGTGTAAGTCTCAAGTCTATTTTCAAGGCGTTATGGTCGGAGCAGGTTTTAGGGCAGATCTCTATTTTTTTAGTCTTAGGGGCCAGTCCTCTAGACATCCAGATTTGGTCGATTCTTGTCCAGGATAGGTGGGCCTCAGAAAAGAATGTTCCTTCTTTACCTAGAGGATTCTTTGTCCTCCAAATATCAATCAAATCCATATTGTCTGTAAGTTCAAAAAAAGTCTTTGGAAGTCTGCCATCTTTGGTCAAATTCTGATTTTGTGACTTATCCATATATGTGGAGACAACTCCATTCATATCACCCATCAAAATGATGTTAGTATAGTCAATATAGTCCAACATTGTCTCATGCAGCTTCTTATAGAATTCCGATTTCCCATCATTTGGTGCGTAGATTCCTACAATCAAAAATTTTTCTCCTTGTACTTGAATTTCAATCGCCAAAATTCTTCCTTGTTCATCTTTAAAAATCAATTTTGGTACTAGGGTCTCCTTTGCATAAATCACTACTCCTCTTTTTTTAACCTTGTCTGATGAGATAAATTCTTGGCCTAGTCTCTTGTTGGTTAACACTCTCCTGTGGAGCCTAGTCACATGTGTTTCTTGAAGGCAAATGATGTCTAGTTGTTCTTTTCTCAAAATATGGAAAATCTTTTTCCTTTTTTCAGGAGAATTTGCGCCATTAATGTTCCAACTGAGAAGCTGCAGAGACATCTCGGACCAGTTATTGGCCTGTTGGGGTGTCTCCTTTATCGTTTTTGTCTGGAGGTGGAACCGGGTTCAGTCCAAACGAAGGAGGTGGCCAGACACCTGCTATTCCTTTCCGAAGGTCCTCCCCGTGGTCTTTTAGGAACTTTTCTTGCTCCTCTGCTGTTCTGATTCTTACCTTCTCCCCTTTCAAAGTAAAAGATAGTCCTTGAGGGAATTCCCACCTGTAAGGGATTGTGTTGTTTCTCAGTAAAGTTGCTAGGTCTTTATATGTAGCTCTTAAATCCAGTAGCTGTTTTGGTATATCTCTGAAGATTTCTGCCTTTTTTCCCTGAATCACCAATGAGTTTTTAAAATGCAAACCGAGTATGTTTTCTTTTTCTTGCCTAGATCTCAGAATGATCAGGCAATCTCTTGGTTTATCCTTCTTAGCCACTCTTCCTAATCTGAAAGCGGTGACGATTTTAAAGTCTTTCTCTTCTGCCAGACCCCAGAATTTGGCTATTTCTGTTGTCAAAAAGCCAATCAGGTCCTCTTTTTCTAATTCTGGGATGTTTCTAATTCTGAGATTATTTTCCCTATATTAGCAGTGCTTTCTAAGGCCCATTTGACTTCACTCTCCAGGATGTCTGGCTCAAGGAACACAAGGAACCCACTCATAGGAACACAAGAACCAAATTGACTGGACAACACAATAATAAATCCGAGCATGAACACTGACAGCTGACAGCTGAAAGTGCATGTGCTTACTTGCCATTAGAACGTTTGTCTACCAATGCTTATACGATTGGTTAGAACATGCCTTGTAACATAAAATGTGATAAACCCAATACATAACACTCATCCCCCCAACTTCCTAACAAAAGGAACAAACATAGTCATCAAGGTGTGCCGGCTTTTTCCACTCCCACTTGGGCCATCGCAGTTCCTGTGCCCGAGTGGGTGACCTAGGAGGTTCCTCCGGTACCCGCGGTCTGAGTGGGGAGCTCAGCGAGGCCGGCTCAGAAGTGGTCCCTGCTGATGGAGCCACTGAGGATTCCAGCCTGAAGTCGCCCTGCTGGGGTAACTCAGTCACCGGTAACACGTCTGGTTCCCCCCTGGCCTGGGCACAGAATCTCCCTAAGTACCCATTTCTCTGTCCTCTGGTTCAACTTGAAGTTCTGTGTTCAGAGGTGCCCTGGCTCTGATCTGGTTGAGGTGTCTCTTCCAAACTAGTCCCCCCCTGTTCTGTCCCCCTGTTCCAAACCAGTTCCCCCTGTTCTGTCCCCCTAGTCTCTGTTCTTCTACCTGCTTCTTCCTCCCAGCAATCCCTGCTCAAAAACACCCTTTTCCTGTCCCCTCAAATACACACTCTATCACCTTAGCAACATCTCATTCTCCAGGCTAAACGATTTCTCTCCCCAATGGCCCATCAAAACTTTTAGTCATGTTAACAGGTTTGGTCTTCACTAAGCCTGCCAGTCAGGAATTTTCTGTCTGGCACAGCTCTGCAACTTGTACTTTAATACTTTTTAAATGAAAGCTTCTGTGCATAAAGGATGCTATATAACAAAATAGTTGACTGATAAAGCTCGGAAAACTTAAAAACACCTTGTAGATGGATTCTTTTAATACATGCTCAATCTATGGATTTACGTTAAGCTACCCACTATCTACCCTCATATAAACACCTTCAGAGAGAAATACTTAATTTGTGAGAAATTCCTACCTGGTTGTGGTGAGCCATGTTTGCTTCCTTGCTTCCCCAGTCAAAGCCTTTGAACTTCCCAGCCTTCACAATCTGAAAAAGAGGTGTGCCATACTTTGAAAAACCAAATGGGCAAAGCAGATGATATAGAATTGTGTGATATGAATAGACCGTGGTACCGGCATAAACAGTGATGTTAAATGTGTCAAAAACCAATGCTATGATTAAGGCTATGCCATAATGTCTAACTTCATCTTTAGTGAGAAGAACAAAAGTTAATGTAAACATACAAAGAAAGCTACACAAAGCCATCTGAAAGCAGTAGACCTGTTTTTTAGTACTGCTTAACCTTCTACGTCTCCTCAGTTCATCTGATATCTTAAGAATGTTTGACATGTGTCCTACTAGATATGAGGTGTTTGTTTTACACCTACCTGGAAGCAACTCTCATCTAACTTAGGGGGACTTTAGTAAACACACATAGGTTTGGGCTGAAAATTTCTCTTCCGATCTAATATGATTTCTCCTCTCTGCCTCTGGGCAGCTGGATTAAGTTGGGTGGTTGGATAAGTAGCCCAGGTATCCCATTGACCAGAAATCAGAATATTGTGCAGGGATCAGGAATTTCCACTCCACAGTCCAACTTAGTCTGCTAGGGGATCCAGTCTCACCCAAACACTTTCCCACAAAGACACCCACTTGACCATCAGCTGATCTCACTCAAATTCTGCTCTGCTTGGCAGTATTCCATGCCTGATGAAGGAAGGAGTTTGCATTGGAATCCAGAAGGAGCAACTTGCAAGGAGCTTTGACATCCTTGATTGTTCTAATAGGTTATGAACAGGTTGGATGCCCCACCCTGTTGTTAAACTTTGCATGTGAAACTGATCCTGATAAGAATCGGGCCTGTGGAACAAAGGAAAAGGTTCCCCACTTGTGACACAGTCAAAATTGATTTGGCCACTTTAAAGTGTAAATACATCTGTCTAATCATGTCTATTCAGAACCATTCTGTAATGGTTCTAGGGGTTGCTCGTGCGTAAGCCTGTGCCAACACCTGGCTGGGATGCCCGAGTGAACCTTTCCTGTCCGGACAGCCGCTCACCCATGGCTGTCTCAATCGCTGGCAGAATCCATCAGTGGGCGTTTCTTAAACTTCTTCCAGCAAAGAAGCTCTTTGACGCCCAGTCTCCTCCTACTCTCCCTGCGGGGAAGCCTTCTGCGCAAGGAGGGCATAGGCAGCGGAGGACCCTTCCTCTCCCCGCTGGTCCCCGGCAAGGAGTCATGTGACCGCCTCTCTGATTCCCCCATCTGCCCCCCTTCTCCACTGGAGCTAAGCTGATTCCCTTCCGCAGAAGATGGGCTGCCTCTCCCAATCCCGGGACACTCTCTGGGATCCCTCTGGAGCTTGCTCTCTCCCTCCGGCACTGATGGCAGTTCCCTGACATCCACCTCCCCTTCAAGACCCCTCCCACCCCCGGCGCGATTTTCCGACACAACCTCCTCTCTCTCCTCGGCCGACGATGCGGGGAATCCCCTGAAAGAGCTGTCATCCTCTTCTGAGGATTCAAAACCAGCCTCCCATCTGCTCGGATCTCTTCCCGCTGGTTGAACCTCCCAGTCTGATTCTTCTCCCTCGGACACCTCCTCTCCCTCCTCTTTGGAGGCAGGAAAACCCACAAAGTCCCCTTCGTCGTCTGTGGGTCCAAATTCTTCCTCCCAAAATCTAGCTAATGGTTTGGTCTTATCCAGGAACAAACTGTGGAATTCTTCCACCAGATACCCGTTAGTGATTGATTCAGCAGGGACCCATGTGTTTTCCAACCTAGGTTCCCCCTCCCAGGCTACCAAGTACTCTACCTGGCGACCTCGCCACCTTGAATCGAGTATTTCCGTGGCTTCGTTACAGTGTTCCCTCTCCTCGACCCGCGGGTGGGTGGTAACCCCTCCCTCCCATCCCGGGAATTCCCGCCCCTCTCTGTAAGGTGAAAGTAGGGACCTGTGGAACACTGGATGTATCTTCATGCTGTCAGGCAACTTGAGTTTTTTATTTTTTAAAATAATATTTATTAGAGTTTCAAATAGTACAAAAAACAAACAAAAAGAAAAAAAAGAAAAAGATTCAACCTTTACAATCCAAATTTTCAAATAACTTTTTTCCCACAACTTCCCCTCACCTCCCCTTCTTGTATTCCATGTCCAAATATTTATCCAACAAGTTCTTATCCCTAAATTTTAACCTTAATTTGTTATTATATTTATTATATTATATTTTTAACCTTAATTTGTTATTATATTTAATTCAATTTATATATCAACTTTTAACTTATATACATCAATCATTTATGCTTAAAAACTTTTTCTAAGGTCGACCCAGTTTCCCTTCCACGAATTCCCCATTTTTATACTGAAAACAACACAAAGTTAAAAAAAGAATAGAAAAAATCGAACTCCCTTTGGATTTCCACACTCCACCCTCCCTTCCCCAGTTTCGATCCCCGAACCATTGTCCATTAGTCCATCTACTATCAGCCTGGCAACCTCACGTCTGAGGCCCTTAAATCTCTCTCAGTCCCTCTCTGCCGGTTTCTTTGGATGTCCTTTATATTTAACACCAAGACTCGGAGGAGCACTATCCCTATAATGTCCATGTTCCTTCGAGCCAGACCTCCATGTTTAAAGGTGGAGCTCAAATCTTGTTTCTTAATCCTTTTAAGTCCAAATAACCCAAAGGCTCCAACTTCCACCTTGATCAAATTTATAGTCCATAGATCTTCAGATCCCCACAAAAGGAGATCTTTCCATTCCTCATTTTTAAATCCAGACCAAATTTTCCTCATCCAGTCCTTATTTTCTTTTATATCCATCTTAACAAGCCTCCTGCTCACCTTTGCCTTCTGCAGCATTGCAGCCCCTCCTTCCTGCTCCTCCTGTTCAGCATATATCGCTTCCTCCACTTCCTCAGTTTTCTCTATTTTCTTTTCTTGTTCAGCTGCCTGGGTTTTGTACATCAAGTCCTTTTCCAACTCAGTAGATACATTTACTGTTGACTTCGAAGTTATGGCACATGTAGACAAAACATGACCTTGCTCATGCAACTTTCGCAACTTTCCCAAGAGAAAGGCAACCTCGTCCAGGTCAGCTAGTATTTTCCGACCTATTTCCATTCTTGTAATGTCCCTGAACCCCCTCTAGAGGGATTCTGGTTATTCAGTATTCCTTTCACTTTCAACCCAAAAGTCAAGTTAATTTGTTTCAGTCCTTCTTTGTTTTCAACAACTTGTAACTATATTGTATCTAATGTAACCGGCAAGAACATCAGAAATAAAGTTCTCTATTTTTTTCTGACTTTGACAGATAATTTGACAGCTGTCAAAATCTTCTGTGTCTCCTCAGCAGGCTCCTCTCGCGGATCACTCCCGGTCCCGGGAGGGGTGGCACTTTAACTCAGAAAGTTAGCTCTTATCCTCCAGCACAATTACTTATACTATCAATCCGTGCAATTAATAACTTTTATCCAATAAAGAAAAGGCTCTTCTTTCGACCTTAGTTGTCAAATCCTTGCTTTAAATTGTTTACAATGGGGGGGAGACAGACTTCCTCTTTGCACCTCCCCCGCTCGTACCGAATCCAAAAAAGTTTTTAGTCCAATTTCCAAATTACTCACGGGTTGCTGTTTTTAGTTTTTAGTCCAAATTTTCAGAAGAAGAAGTCAGCGCTCTCTGTCGAATGGCATGCGGCTTCGCTCGGCAGGGGAAGCAGAAGACTCGCAGCACCGCGCCGCTCCCCGTCCCCCGTTCCGTAGCCTTTAAAAAGGCTCCTTTGCGGGTCGGGGGGCGCAAACGGTGCCCGCCGAGTCACCAGGTCCATGGGCTTCCGCGCTCGTGGTTTTTGAGGGTCCCCGCGTCGCCGGCGCGGCAGGACCCAACCCCTGTCGAGCAGATTCCCTCCGGAGCTCGAAGGGAATCCGCCATTTGGCGATGGCGCCAACCCAGAAGTCCCAGGCAACTTGAGTTTAAATGCCACTGGGTTCACCTGCTGTATTACCTCAAAAGGCCCCAGCCGCCTCGGCTGCAACTTCTTGCACCCTCCCTTTAGGGGCAACCCTTGGGATGACAACCACACCCGGTCTCCTACCCGTATGGCCTCCCCCTCCCGACGGTGCCTGTCCGCCTGCCTCTTGTAAACTTCCTTGGCCCGCTCCAAGTTCAGCCTGAGTTGCTGGTGTAAGGCCTCCATTTCCTCCACAAATTGCTCAGCCGCAGGTACGCTCCATCCTTCCTCCCCCCGCCCCAGGAATGCCCTGGGGTGACACCCGTAATTGGCCATGAAAGGGCTCATTCCCGTGGACACGTGTTCAGCGTTATTGTAAGCAAATTCAGCCAAAGCTAATTTCTCTACCCAATCGTTCTGTCTCTCGCTGACATAGCAGCGTAGGTATTGCTGGAGTATGCCGTTCGCTCTTTCGGCTTGTCCGTTGGTTTCCGGGTGCCTCGCCATCGAGAAGCTCACGTCGAACCTGTAGCAAGCTCATGAGTTTCCGCCAGAACCGGGAAGTAAATTGTTTCCCGCAATCCGAGATTACCCTCAAGGGAGCCCAATGCAGTCTAAAAATGTGATCCACAAACAGTCTGGCTGTCTCCTCTGCCATTGCTGCATGTGAGCAAGCTACAAAATGGCACATTTTTGTCAGTAGATCGACTACTACCATGACTGCTGTCTTTCCCCTTGACTTGGGCAGATCTGTCATAAAATCAATGGACACCACCTCCCAGGGCCTTTCCGGTGTGGGTAAGGGTTCCAGTAACCCCGCGGGGGCAGCCCTTTCCCCCTTAGCCCTCTGGCATCGGTCGCACCCTCGTACATATTCTCTTATGTCTTCCCTCACCTTTGGCCACCAGAACTGCCTGGTGACAAGTAGCATGGTCTTGTGCTGTCCAAAGTGCCCAGCTGTTGGGTTGTCGTGGAGTTGTTTAAGTACCTTCCCCCTCAAAGTCTCCCCCAGTACATACAGCGCCCCCTTATAGTACAATAGCCCTTCCTTTTCCTCGAACCCTCCATTGACTTCCTTTCTGTCCCTGAGTTCCCTGATTTTTGTCTGAGCAAACTCATCATCTCTGGTGAGCCCTGCCAGTTCTCGTTTCCCAACCAACGCTCCCCCCACACCCACCGGTCCTCAGGGAACACGTGCCTGGTCTCTGGTGGCCCCTCTCCTTCCATGTACTCCGGTTTCCGGGAGAGAGCATCTGCCCTTACGTTTTCCTCTCCCAGCACGTATCAGATCTCCAAGGAAAACTTGGCGAACTCCTGGGACCATCTGATCTGTCTCTGGTTGGGCACTCGCGTGGTCCGCCAGTATTCCAAGTTCTTGTGGTCAGTTCGGACCTGGATCTTGTGCCGCACCTCCATCAACAGATGTCTCCATTGCCAAAATGCTGCATAGATAGCAAGCAGTTCTCGGTCATACACTGTGTAGTTTTGCTCTGACTTGCTCAGCTTCCTCAAGAAAAAGGCCCACGGCCTCCAGTTCTGCTTGGCCCTGGGCTGCAAAAGGACCGCTCCAATGGCGCGGTCGGACACGTCCATCTCCAGTCTCATGGGCTTCTCCGGATCCACGTGCAGGAGCTGCTCTTCCGAGGCAAACGCTCTCTTCAGTTTTTCAAAGGATTGCTGCACTCCCTCTGTCCACGCAAACTTCTTTTTGCTACTAAGACAATCCGTTATGGGTGCTGTCAAGTGAGCGAAGTTCTTTATGAACTTCCTATAGAAGTTGCTGAAGCCTAGGAACCTTTGCACATCCTTTCTGTTTTGGGGGGCTTTCCATTCCAGCACTGCCTTCACCTTGCCCGGATCCATGGCTAGTCCCTTGTCTGACAGCCTGTACCCCAGGAACTCAACCTCCCTGGCGTGGAATTGGCATTTTTCCAGCTTGACCCACAACTGATGCTTCTTCAATCTCTGTAGCACCTCCCTGACATCTCTGACGTGTTGCTTTTCATCGTCCGAATAGATTAAGACGTCATCCAAAAAGGCTACGCAATTCTTGTACAGCAGGGGCCCCAACACATGGTGCATGAAGGCTTGAAAGCAGGCCGATCCCGATTGTAATCCAAATGGCATGACTAAGTACTCAAAAGCCCCCAGGGGGGTGAACATGGTCGTTTTCCATTCGTCCCCCTCCCTTATCCTAATCAGATTGTATGCTCCCCTGAGGTCCAGCTTGGTAAAAATCTTCCCCTGCCTCACACGTGTCAAAATATCATCAATCCTGGGCATTGGGTAAGTCATGGGTTCTGATACCAGGTTTAGGGCCCTGTAATCCATGACTAATCTGGGCTGATTAGTCTCTTTTTTGTCCACAAAGAACACTGGACTGCCCCCCCACCGCCTTTGATTCCCTTATGAATCCTCTCTTCAGGTTCTTGTCAATAAACTGCCGCAGCTCTTGCATCTCCCAGTCGGACATGACATACAGCTTACCCACTGGTAACTGAGCCCCTGGAAGCAGGTTGATTTGGCAGTCAAAGGGCCTGTGGGGGGGCAGTTTGTCTGCCTCCCTTTCGCTGAAGACCTCCTTCAAATCAGCATATTGTGGTGGCACCTGCCCTTTTTGCTCCAGGGCCAACCCCGCCACCCTGGCTACAGTCATTCTTGGTTCCTTCCCTCCCAGACAGTGTTCTGAGCAGTAAGCTGACCCAAAGGTGACCGACCGCTGATGCCATGACACCACTGGGTCATGTATTGCCAGCCAGCTCATTCCCAGTATTATTGGGGGTCCTGCCAGCGTGGCCACGTGAAAGGCAATGGTTTCCATGTGCCTGGAGACCCTCATTCGCATTGGCGGTGTCTGGTGTGTCACTTCCCCTCCCAGGAGTTCCCTGCCATCGATGGTGGTCACCTGCAAGGGAAAATCTAGTGGCAACAGGTGGAGTTGGTGCTCCAGAGCGAAGTCTCTGCTGAAGAAATTACACGAGCTGCCAGAATCTAGCAGTCCCTCCACCTTGACGGGGTGCCCGTTTGGGAGTTCTAGCACCACCTCTATGGCTATCGCTGCCTTGGGGGGGTCAGGCTGGGGCACTTCTATTGGTTGCTGGCCTGGCTGCTGGCCCCACTGGTTGGCAGCCAGGCATTGGCGTTTCCCTGCGCCTGCCCCTCCTCCCCCTTCTCGTCGTGGCCTGCAGCCCTCATCATGCCTTGCCAGGCCTTTCGTTGAGGGCAGACCTTTGCAAAATGTCCCGGTCGCTGACAGAGGAAACACTTCTTGGTAGTTTTCCACTCCTTTCCCTCCCTTTTCCGACCTTCACCAGTGTTTGAAACTTCGAGCGTGCGCTGCATTAATTTCCATCGGCTCCGCCGCCTGGGAAGGCTCCCTCGGCATCTCAGGAATGCGGTTGTCATGGAAACATTCCGCCCTTATCTCCCGCTTCTCTTGAGCCCGCGCTTCCTGGCGTACACCGATCGCAAGCACAGTCTTTGTGAGTTCATCCATCAACCGCGGGAGGGGCGCTCGGGACAATTCGTCTTTCACTATAGGGGACAAACCCGCCTCAAACAACATTTGCATTGGTTCAGAACCCAGATCCCACCCGAGCTTGTGGACTAACATCGCGCAACGCGACCAGTAGTTTCTGATGGACAGGCTCCCCTGCTTGCACCCCATCAGCTCCCGTCATGTCACACTTTGCTCAACCTCGCTGGAGAACATCGCGTCCATTCCCTGGTAGAATTTCTTGAGATCTTTCAATGCATCATTCTGCGTCGCCATTAGGGGCCTGATCCATTCACGCGCCCCATCCTGCAGATGTCCCACAATGTAAGCCTCTCCCCGTCATCAGCAAAGTCATTTTTCTGCAATTCCAAAGCGTACTGGATTTCCTTTCGGAAGGCATTGTAGTCTTGGGGCTTTCCACCAAATTTGTGTACCAGCCCCTGAACCTTCCTCCCTATCAGGGTGGCTCTGACCTGTGCATCCTGAGCCCTTCTCTCCTCCAGCCGCGCCATCAGGGTAGCTACATGCGCCTCCAGGTCTTGGTTCCTCTCGACCAGACCTCGCACCAAGGCTTCTTGCTCTGTTCCTCTGGCCGGCTCTGTTTGGCTCATCGTGCTGCCTCTCCGGGGCTGCGCACAAGCAACGTCAGGGACTGACGGATTGCTGTAATGGTTCTAGGGGTTGCTCGTGCGTAAGCCTGTGCCAACACCTGGCTGGGATGCCTGAGTGAACCTTTCCTGTCCGGACAGCCACTCACCCGTGGCTGTCTCAATCGCTGGCAGAATCCGTCAGTGGGCGTTTCTTAAACTTCTTCCAGCAAAGAAGCTCTTTGACGCCCAGTCTCCTCCTACTCTCCCTGCGGGGAAGCCTTCTGCGCAAGGAGGGCATAGGCAGCGGAGGACCCTTCCTCTCCCCGCTGGTCCCCGGCAAGGAGTCATGTGACCGCCTCTCTGATTCCCCCATCTGCCCCCCTTCTCCACTGTAGCTAAGCTGATTCCCTTCCCCAGAAGATGGGCTGCCTCTCCCAATCCCGGGACGCTCTCTGGGATCCCTCTGGAGCTTGCTTTCTCCCTCCGGCACTGATGGCAGTTCCCTGACATATTCAATAGGACTTATTCCCAGGGAAGTGTTTCTAGAAATGCAGGCTAAGTCACAGAATCAGAGATAGAAAACACCAACTCCATACTAAAGATTATTTCACACAATTGATCCAAAATAGAGAGCAGCTTCAAGGGAAGCGGGACGCGGGTGGCGCTGTGGGTAAAAGCCTCAGTGCCTAGGGCTTGCTCATCGAAAGGTCGCGGTTCGAATCCCCGCGGCGGGGTGCGCTCCCGTCGTTCGGTCCCAGCGCCTGCCAACCTAGCAGTTCGAAAGCACCCCCGGGTGCAAGTAGATAAATAGGGACCGCTTACTCTAGCGGGAAGGTAAACGGCGTTTCCGTGTGCGGCTCTGGCTCGCCAGAGTAGCTTCGTCACGCTGGCCACGTGACCCGGAAGTGTCTGCGGACAGCGCTGGCCCCCGGCCTCTTGAGTGAGATGGGCGCACAACCCTAGAGGCTGTCAAGACTGGCCCGTATGGACAGGGGTACCTTTACCTTTACCTTTACCTTAGAGAGCAGCTTCAAGGGAAGCAGTGGCTAGGAAGAAACAACTTGATTGTGGAATATATGAGCCTCAAATAACCAGCATGTTTAGCTCTATGGGTTAGCATGATGGGTTTAAGACAGTCCAGCGAGGCTTAACTAGGTCATTCCCCCTCACTTTGGAAGGAAAGGCTACCAGAGCCATTATTCATTTTCACTTCCACCATGTATATCCAGTCAGAAAGGACATCTTAGCTAGATGCTCCAAGCTTCTACTGTGTGGCTTTAGCAAGCCGTCTTTGTGTTTCTATACAAATAATTCAGATGACACTAAGTTAAAGTGCCGGTCTAGCCTGGAGCCATCCTGATGGCTGGCTGATGGGCGTGGCCTGGCTGATGGGAGTTGTAGTTCAATCAGGTGGGCAAAGGTTCCAGTAGCACTGGGTTCTTCACTGAGACACAATTCAGTAAAATATCACAGAAATGTAGTATTTTGTCCATCTACATGCAGAGGGACTATTTTGCGAATAAAAACAATTCCATTGGGGATATTATTGTATCTTTAGCTTTTGAAATACTCCTGTTTGGAAACATTTAAACACAATAAAACTCTCTCAGCTTTAAATCCTTTCTCATAAAAACAAAACATATTTCTGGAGTATGTAAAAAGAGAGGCTGAGTTATTAAGAATTTTTCTTTCAATCATATTTATTAATTTCATTCTTAAAAGTCTTTGTAAAAGCCTGTTCTGATTGCCCATTCTTCAATCAATACCAAAACCTTTTTTTAAAGAGAAAAGAGGATTTCGGTGCTACCTGAGTCCAGTGAAGCATGTTCTGGATAGATGTCCCAGCTGGGAAGTGTGATAAATAAACATCGATTCGACTCTGTAAGAAAGCGCAAAGTGATTAGCTGAATTTATCACAAATTGCAGCAGCCACTTCCCTTCCATTTGGTTTGTTTGAACAACAGCAGTGCACCAGAGCTCAACATCGGGATATCACACAGGAATCCGTGTCTACATAGTAACAACACAACTTGACGTTCTAAACTGGTTACTAATCCCAATATGATGTTACAAAAAAACAAACGAACGGAAATTAGCTTAGAGCAAGGCATTTCACTTTTAAATGTCCCAGAACTTAAATGCATTTTTTTTATATACAGATTACTTGCAGTGCTATTCTATGCACATTTACTAAGAAGCAAATTGCACTGTGTTCAACCAGGCTTCCTCCCATGTACCTATGCACAGGATTAGAAGAAGAAGAGGAGGAGGAGTTTGGATTTGATATCCCACTTTATCACTACCCAAAGGAGTCTCAAAGTGGCTAACAATCTCCTTTCCCTTCCTCCCCCACAACAAACACTCTGTGAGGTGAATGGGGCTGAGAGACTTCAAAGAAGTGTGACTAGCCCAAGGTCACCCAGCAGCTGCATGTGGAGGAGTGGAGAGGCGAATCCGGTTCCCCAGATTACGAGTCTATCGCTCTTAACCACTACACCACACTGGCTCTCTGGTTAGATTACAGCCTAACTATAATGCTTTTCATCATATAGTACTACTAGAACCAATCCAGGTACGGTTACTAACAATGATTGATGCAATAGGCATTGCATTGTGTATGTTCCTTCTACAGGACATGAATTCACCCTATCCTGCTTGAGTACCAAACCTGGCCTTGGTGTGCACTTATGGCTTCTCACTTCATGTTCCTGGGCTGATGTGCACCATCTTTCAATGCACACAAATGTTCAGTTCCATTTTACAAGCATACGCACACAAACCCTTATACAAATATTGGACCTAACTGTGTGATTAAATAATTGCCTGTTTTTTGACTGCTGTTTATTCTTGTAATATTATTAATAATAATAATAATAATAATAATAATAATAATAATAATAATAATAATAATAATTATTATTTATTCCCCGCCCATTCCGGGCAGCTTACAGCACATATGAAAAAGTGTTGGGTGTTTTTTTTTTAAAAAAAAGGTATCCCACCCTGTGACCACCTGGTGAAATGTAGGATGTAAATAATGAATAAATTTGGAGGAACATTGGCTGGAAAGGAAGCAAGAAAGGGAAAATACTAATAAGCAGCCTCATAAAGATCACCCACAAAATCCACACAAACTTAGTGAGATGTTACTAGTGTGCTTAGTGAGATGCTACTAGTTTGCATGAACTGAGATCATCTGGTGAGACTCACTTGACAACACTGAGAATGTTGGCCTTTAATGTCATCAGCCCAGTGCTGCAGAATACTCTACCAACAGAGACTCAGCAGGCACCTTCTAAACCAACTTTCAAGTGCCTGCTGAAAACTTCTCTATTCTGCCAGTACACCCACCACTGTGGTTACTGATCTCTGCTTTTAACTTGTTTTTCAATTTTATGCTTTTGTTAAATGGTTTTAATCTTATTTATACTGTTGTAAACTGCTTTGATACAATTTGCTGATATAGCAGTATATAAATACTTAAATAAATAATTAGCCATTATGCAGTGCTAATGGACAGATTGTGAAGCTGAAGCTCCAATACTGTGGCCACCTCATGAGAAGAGAAGACTCCCTGAAAAAGACCCTGATGTTGGGAAAGATTGAGGGCAAAAGGAGAAGGGGACGACAGAGGACGAGATGGTTGGATAGTGTTCTCGAAGCTACCAGCATGAGTTTGACTAAACTGCGGGAGGCAGTGGAAGACAGGAGTGCCTGGTGTGCTCTGGTCCATGGGGTCACGAAGAGTCTGACACGACTAAACGACTAAACAACAACAAATGCAGTGCTTACACAAGAGACAAAATCCCAGAATAGGAAGAAATATGCATAAGATTATGAGGTCTACGGAAGTCTTTTTTTACTGGAAGCTTTATATGGCCAATATCTTGTAGGCAGTGGAAATGTATTCTGGAACTTTAGCTTTGTACTTAAGAAGGGGATTTAGACACTCCCTTGAGTGGCACATTGTGTGGGGGGGGGACCACAGGGGCAGTTGCCCAGGGTGCAAAATTATTAGGGGTGCAAAATTTCAACACCCTGCAATGCCTCAGTACAGCTCTGCTCTTCCCTCGCTGGGCTCAGTCGCAAACGGCTTCTCCATGCAAACCAGGAAGTGACCTCTCCAGACAATGGAATGACTCTTCCTTTCTTATCTCTGTGGCTGCAATCCCCTGGATGCCGCAGATGTCGTTATGTGGTTGAATGTGCACACATATTCTGTCCGTTTCCCTCCTTCCCATCCCACTCTGTGCGGTCCCTGTTTAAACAACGCCATAGCAAAGGCAAAAAGATGCAGGTCAATGCTCAGGGAGGCCTTGAGGGAGGATAGGCAGTGGTTGTGCATGTGTGCTGCTGTACTTGAGCACATCCATGAGGCCTATTAGGCAGAGCAGCCCTGCCTGTGGGGCTACTACTAGGGTGGTGGAGAGGCGTCCCTCTGGCTGCTCCACTTAACTCTTTCCATGGGGCAAGCACAGCACACAGTCCAGGCGCTAGGGTGTACAATACTTGCCTTGCCGCAGGCACTGGCAACCCATGCTATGTCACTGCTCCTTGTGCAGGAGACACCATGGCACACACACAGGCTTTTACTAGTGTCCCAGACTCTGAGCAATCCTTTAAAAAATAAATCTCTATCCATCATAGACGCAAAATGATGAGGCAAAATGTGCAGTTATCTTCTGTGTTTTGTCTAAGTGTAATTAAGTTATGAATGGCACAAGTAGCAATCACTTCAGAGAAGCCTCCATACACCTACCTTTTTGTTAGAGCACACTCCTACTAAGTAATCAGAAATCTTACCGCATTGATGTTTAGCACATTAAAGCCAGTTCCGATGAAGACAACACTGCCACAAAGATAATCCATTGGGAAACGGTTACACAAGTAAGTAGCACACCATTTCATTGTTCTGTCTTGAGCTAAAAACTGCTTAGTTCCAAACATTTTCTGCCAAAACAAAAACATTAGTACATACACCATTTTGTTAGTCAATTCTCTTTTTTCCTATGGATACTTCTATCGAGTAGAAACAAAATATTACAAAAAAAAAAAACTGTTATGAGAATCTTCCACTCAGACATATAGGATAGAATACCCATTCAAATCCCACAAGCACAGTCAGACAGAATGACCCCCTGGACCCTCCAAGTGTCCCCTATTTTCCAGAGGCTATCCCAGATTTACAGAAGCCATCCTGGTTTCTGATTTGATCCCAGAAAGTTCCCTATTTTCACCGGAGAAATGATTAAGGGTATGGAGTTTTGCAGCCCCCAATACAAGGAGATAAGTCACTATACAACCTTTAAAAGACATCTGAATGCAGCCTTATAGAGGGAAGTTTTTAAATGTTTAATGTTTCGTTATGTTTTTATATATGTTGGAAGCTGCCCAGAGTGGCTGGGGCAGCCGAGTCAGATGGTTGGGGCATAAATGGAATGGAATGGAATGAAACCTTCCAAAGTGGTTCAGAAACAAGCTACATGGTAATGGTTCCCACAACATGAACACTATTTAGATAGGAGCCCAAATATGCAAAAGACATGAGTTATGCAAACATAGCCTCTAAGGGCATTGGTTTCTTTATTTTATTTTATATTTTTTTATTATTTTCCATTTTTAACATTATTATAACATCTTATTTCCTTTTACTAATTCATAGCTCTACTGAACCACTCAGCTTCCCTCCATCCCGTTATCTGGTTTTTGTATAACAACATCATATTTCCACACATTTATACCATCTCAATCCTACACTTTTTTTCTTGGTTATTTTACTCAAGTAGAACGTTCCGTCCAATGAGCTTTGTGAGATTTATTGCAGCCCTGCAAGTGTCTTTACATGTTTACAATAACTGACTATTTATTGAATAAATTTACTCCAGCCTCTCTGGAACGCTTTGTCACTCTGGTTTCAGATTTTGCCTGTCAGCTTGGGTAATTCCGCATAGTCTATCATCTTGATTGATTTCTAGACTTTTGGCGTCCTTCTAAAGTGGTTCAGGAACAAGCTAGATTATAATGGTTCCCACAACATGAATACTATTTCAGTAGGAGCCCAAATATACAAAGCACATGAGTTATGCAGACATTTTGCCAAATGTCCAGTAGCTAAATAGATGTGCTACAAATCATTTAATTACCCAGTAATTTCAGCAAAAGTGTCTTACTGCTCTATTGTATGCCTAGTGACTTAATTTAATGTCATGTCTCCTGACTTGAACCTAGGCTAAGAATACGAGAAGTAGCTATTCCTCCAATCTGAAAAGGACAGGAGTGTAGCATAGCAACCAAGGGTGACTGTAGCATGGGGATAAAACTGACCATGCTCCAATGTTGTTTTATGGATTACAGAGCTAAAAGAAGCAGGGTGGAAGAGATAGACAACACAGCAGACCCAAGCAAACAGCCTCCAACATGATCAGTGAGTATCTCTGAGCCCTAAAAATGGGCGCATGTGCCTGTAATTTGATCAGCATGGCTCTCTTCCCATACAGCCATTCCTTGTTGGTAAGGAACTAAGTCCGCAACTAAGAAAGGAAGGGAGGGAGGGAGGAAGCAAGGAAGGTGGAAATGGGGCAGGCTTTCAGGGAAAAGGGCTTTGGCAATCCAACCTGCTATTGAACCCAAAAGGTTTTGACTGTACTAGGTTTTGCCATTAAGCTAGATCCCTGGAGCATAGGCTTACTGTACTATAAAGAAAGCAATACTGTAATAAATACATTCCCATGTACCGTATTTTTCACCCTATAGGACGCACCGAACCATAGGATGCACCTAGTTTTTTGGGGGGGAAATAAAGGGTGGAAAATTATTTTCCCCCTAGGCTCGGGGCTGGGGCGGGGGATGCCCGAGCTTCCCCCGACCCCTGCCCCCAGAACAGGCTGCTGTCCTCAAGCCTAGGGAGCCCGGCGGGAAGTCCCGCTGGTCTCCCCAGGCTTGTGGATATCTGCCCCCCGAGCTTGTGTGGCTGGCAGCCTCCAAACCAGGTTGGGGAACAGCAGGGTGGTGGCTCTGCCCCTCCCCGCTGTCCCCCGAGCTTGTGGGGCTGGCGCTGGGGAGAAGCGCGCTTCTCCCCAGCGCCAGCCTCCAAACCAGGTCGGGGAACAGAGGGAAGGCGCGCTGAGCCTCCCCGCTGCCCCCCGTGCTCAGGGCGGGAGTTCCTGCCGGGCTCGCAAGGCTTGCGGACACCTGCACGAAGCACGGGGCGCCCTCCGGAGGGTCCCCATGGTTCGGGCTGCAGGCTGCTGCCCGCAAGCCTTCCGAGCCTGCGGGAACTCCTGAATTCCTGAGCCTGCGGATAGCTTCCTGAAGCCTGGAGAGCAAGAGGGGTCGGTGCGAACTGACCCCTCTCACTCTCCAGGCTTCAGCGAAAGCCTGCATTCGATCCATAGGACGCACACACATTTCCCCTTCATTTTTGGAGGGGGAAAAGTGAGTCCTATAGGGCGAAAAATACGGTAACTGCTCAGCATTATTGCTTTAAAGGCAACTAAGTTACCCACAAGTGTGATCTGCCACCATACTGACAAGATTCTCATGGCAATTTTATTAGGAACCGTAGAGAATTGTGCCAAATTCTTTAATATGGGCACCAGATGCAAACAGTACCCAAAAAAGTCCTGGCACAGAACAGCCAAAGCAACACTGTGCTATCAAGTTGCAGCATTGGCTAGCTTGAGCTCTTTAGATGTCTAAGAGCATTGTGAATGGCCTCAGGTGAAATGAAACAGACATCCCCAAATACTGTACTAGCTACATTAGGCAATATTTGCATTCCGTTGTTTGAACAAGTATTTTTTCTGAAATACATACTTTGAGCTTAGGTTCAGGAACCATTGCAAGTTTAGTCAAAGCCGTGTTTGTCAAATACTTAACAGTGACTACTGGTGCCAATGCAAAGAACATCTTGATCTTCTTGGCTAGGTGTGGCATGGTTGAAAATGCAATGAATGCTGTGGGGTGGGGGGAGGAGGAGAAAAATAAATAGAGTTAGCAATGCAGTCTTGAAAAAACCCAATAACAAAATCGGGTATATTATCAAAATTTACAGACTTTCAGCAGAGCTGAAAATGCACCTTATACTGACTTCTCCAGTACCACTCTTATTCAACCTCTTCATAGCACGAATCTTTAGTACTTCGTAGAGCAGCTGTAGCTGGGAACAACCCCTTCAGTTAAGGCCCTGCTTGAACATCTCTGCTTGAACATATGTTCTCCAGAGCCGGCCCATCCCCCCACACACACTCTGGATAACCCTGATGCTCCCTAGGTCCCCGGCTGGGGACTGGGGAGGGAGAACGCCCAATGCCTGAGCCAAGGTCTACCCACATTTGAAATTTAATAAAGTTGTGGCCAATTTAATCCCATAGCACGTTGTCTAGAGTTGTTATTCCACATGACGGGGGGGGACCGCTCGGGATCTGGGGGCTCCACCTGTCCACGCAATGCAGGAAACCGAAATGCAGGGATTGTTATTCAAGGTGCTTCTCCATAGGTGTCCATAGGTTCCATGGAACATCACTGTACCATGAGCAAGATGTCTCTTGAATTTAATATACAACAGCAACTGCACATATAATTATGTAGCGAAAAGAATTGCCCGCATGTGTTTAAGAATCTTGCTAACCTACCCATTGTGGTGCCCTCGGAATGACCAACATAAAATATTTTTTCCTGACCAGTTTTGTTCAGGACAAAGTTTATTGAAGCTGGAAGGTCGTATTTAGCCTTTTCATCAAAACTGCAAAGAAAAAGGAACAGCCTATGTTTAACAGACATGTATATGCAGTGGGATCAACATTGTGAAAGCCTAAAATGCCCTGTTCTCCGCCCAGTTCAATACAAGAAGAGGCTTGGATCTGGCAGATCAGAGATCATCTCCTCCATGGATCCATCAAGTCACCAAGTCTATGAACATTTGTGAAACAGTTATCTGAATTAAGCCATGACTCATCTTCCTTATATATTTCCTTTTTCACTGTTCACTAGCAAGCAGGGCCACACTATGAGCTGTTCAGTGCAAACTGAAAATGCCCACCACACAGTTAAGAGCAACCATGTGGCTGCAATGGGGAAAGCAAAAACATTTTGAAAAAGTCAGTTTCGGGAGGAACAGTACTTATGCTGTGGGCAGGAGAGGACTCTGCTTTCCCTCCAACCCATGTCTGTCTGAGGAGCTTCAAATTCCAGCAGAGATTCAGAAGGACCAATATTGAGTCTCTCCCGATCAAGTCTAATTGCACCTGAAGTTAAGCTGATCTGCTATCATCTATTCTATGGAGTTCACCAAGGCCACATTTCACCAAGGCCATATTTTCCCCAGGAACAAACAAGTTGTTTGTTTGTTTAAAGGGACAACTACCAATTTTACTTACTTGGAAATGTATTTCTATACCTCCATATCATATATTATAAGAGGAGGTGGAAAAACATGGCTCCACTAGGAAGAGCATGACTAATTAAAGTTTTCCCCAAAGGGTAAACTAGGAACCAGAAACAAGAAATTAGGTTTAGAAAGCTCACTCTACCTGAATAGCCAGAATTCTTGATGCTTCTCAGTATAGTTGATGTGTTTGCTGGACCAAGTGTTACCTCTGGTGTTTCCAAGCCAAACATCATAACCAGCATCAGCCAATATAAAGCCCAGGCTGTTGTAGTCCATATTAAACACCCAGTTACTGCTAGAACCAAGCAAGCCATGCTGCAAGAACACTGCGGGCCTGGGACCTGAAGAGGAAGAAGAAGAAGAATTTATACCCAGCCCATCTGGCTAGTTTTCCCCAGCCCCATTGGGAGGCTCCCAACACAATTAAAGCTACAATAAAACATCAGACATTAAAAACTTCCCTAAACAGGGCTGCCTTCAGATGTCTTCTAAAAGTCATATAGTTGTTTATTTCCTTGACATCTGATGGGAGGGCATTCCACAGGGTGGGCGCCACTACCAAGAAGGCCCTCTGCCTAGTTCCTTGTTTTAAACATAGTTACAATAAGTCCTCAGGGAATGTGCAGGCGACCTTGGAACGGACAGCTCACGGAAGAACCCCGACCAAACCTAAGAGGAGGCGTGTAGTGGTGATAGGGGATTCCCTACTGAGGGGAACAGAAGCAGTGATCTGTGGGCCTGACAAGATGTCTCGGGAAGTGTGCTGTCTCCCCGGGGCTAAGATCCAAGATGTAACTGAACGACTGCAAGGAATCATAAAACCCACTGACAAATACCCCTTCCTCTTGGTTCATGTGGGAACCAATGACACTGCAAGCAATAGCCTCCAGAAGATCAAAAGAGACTACGAGGCTCTCGGCAGGAAATTGAAGCAACTAAATGCACAAATTGTCATCTCATCTGTCCTCCCAGTTGAACGACGTGGCCCAGGGAGAGAGGGAAAAATAGTGGAAGTGAACAGCTGGCTTCGCAAATGGTGTAAACAGGAACGGTTTGGATTCTTAGATCACGGACTGCAGTTTCTTGAAGATGGGCTTCTGGCAAGCGATGGGCTGCACCTCACAACGGTTGGGAGGAATGTTTTTGCCAAAAATCTCAGAAACCTCATCAGGAGGGCTTTAAACTGACTAATGTGGGGGAGGGAGACAGTGCTCCTGAAGGTAGGAGTCTATCAATTGATGAAGATGATCATCCAAATGTCATAGACCAAATGGAGCAAACAGCATGCAGACCTAGTGGTGGGAGGAAAAAATCCTTAAATAAGAGACACGGGGGAATGATTAATGGACTTCAATGTCTGTACACTAATGCGCAAAGCATGGGAAATAAACAAGATGAGCTTGAGCTCTTGGTACAGCAAACTAAATATGACATAATAGGCATCACTGAAACCTGGTGGGATAAGTCCCATGATTGGAATGTAATAATGGAGGGATACAATCTATTTAAGAGAAACAGACCAGACAAGAAAGGGGGAGGAGTGGCGTTATATGTCAGGGATGTGTATACCTGTGAAGAGATCCAAGATTTAGAACCTCAAAGCCAAAGTGAGAGCATTTGGGTCAAAATTAAGGGAGAGAAGAATAACAGTGACCTCATTGTGGGAGTTTACTATAGATCCCCAAGCCAAACGGAGGACATAGATGATGCCTTCCTGGAACAGATGGCCAAGCATGCAAAAGGAAGGGAGATAGTAGTAATGGGGGACTTCAATTACCCGGATATTTGTTGGATGTCAAACTCAGCCAAGAGCATAAGGTCAAACAGATTCCTCACTGGCCTTGCAGACAACTTCATTGTCCAGAAAGTGGGAGAAGCAACAAGAGGAACAGCCATTTTAGATCTGGTCCTAACCAATGTTGATGACCCGGTTAGTGGGGTAGAAGTGGAAGGATCATTAGGCACGAGTGATCATGCTCTTCTGAAGTTTACTATACAGCGGAAAGGAGCAGCCAAGCATACTAGGACTCAATTTCTTGACTTTAAGAAAGCCGACTTCATAAAACTTAGGGAAGTGCTGGGTGAAATCCCATGGACAGTAATACTAAAAGGAAAGGGAGTTCATGATGGCTGGGAGTTTGTTAAGAGGGAGATAGTAAAAGCACAACTTCAGGCAATACCAATGAGACGGAAACATGGAAGGTGCCTAAAGAAGCCAGGGTGGCTACCTAAAGAACTTTTAACTGAGTTAAGATTAAAAAAGGATGTGTACAAAAAATGGAAAAGGGGGGAAACCACCAAAGAGGAATTCAAACAAATAGCCAGCACGTGTAGACACAAAGTCAGAAAAGCTAAAGCACAGAATGAACTCAGGCTTGCTAGAGAGGTGAAAAGCAACAAAAAAGGCTTTTATGGGTATGTCCGTAGCAAAAGGAAGAACAAAGAAACAGTGGGGTCACTCAGAGGAGAAGATGGTGAAATGCAAACAGGGGACACAGAAAGGGCTGAACTCCTCAATGCCTTCTTTGCCTCAGTCTTCTCCGATAAAGAAAACAATGCCCAACCTGAAGAATTTGGAGCAAATGATTCAGCAAAGGAAACACAGCCCAGAATAACTAAGGAGATAGTACAAGAATACTTGGCTAGTTTAGATGTATTCAAGTCTCCAGGGCCAGATGAACTGCATCCAAGAGTATTAAAAGAACTGGCAGATGTGATCTCAGAACCACTGGCAGTCATCTTTGAGAATTCCTGGAGAACAGGCGAAGTCCCGGCAGATTGGAGGAGGGCAAATGTTGTCCCTATTTTCAAAAAGGGGAAAAGAGAGGACCCAAATAATTACCGCCCAGTCAGTCTGACATCAATACCAGGGAAGATTCTGGAGCAGATCATTAAGCAAACAGTCTGTGAGCACCTAGAAAGGAATGCTGTGATCACCAATAGTCAGCATGGATTTCTGAAAAATAAGTCATGTCAGACTAACCTGATCTCGTTTTTTGACAGAATTACAAGCCTGGTAGATGAAGGGAACGCAGTGGATGTAGCCTACCTTGATTTCAGCAAGGCATTTGACAAGGTGCCCCATGATATTCTTGTAAAGAAGCTGGTAAAATGCGGTCTTGACTATGCTACCACTCAGTGGATTTGTAACTGGCTGACTGACAGAACCCAAAGGGTGCTCATCAATGGTTCTTCTTCATCCTGGAGAAGAGTGACTAGTGGGGTGCCACAGGGTTCTGTCTTGGGCCCGGTCTTATTCAACATCTTTATCAACGACTTGGATGATGGACTCAAGGGCATCCTGATCAAATTTGCAGGTGACACCAAACTGGGAGGGGTGGCTAACACCCCAGAGGACAGGATCACACTTCAAAACGACCTTGACAGTTTAGAGAACTGGGCAAAAACAAACAAGATGAATTTTAACAGGGAGAAATGTAAAGTATTGCACTTGGGCAAAAAAAATGAGAGGCACAAATACAAGATGGGTGACACCTGGCTTGAGAGCAGTACATGTGAAAAGGATCTAGGAGTCTTGGTTGACCACAAACTTGACATGAGCCAACAGTGTGACGCGGCAGCTAAAAAAGCCAATGCAATTCTGGGCTGCATCAATAGGAGTATAGCATCTAGATCAAGGGAAGTAATAGTGCCACTGTATTCTGCTCTGGTCAGACCTCACCTGGAGTACTGTGTCCAGTTCTGGGCACCACAATTCAAGAAGGACACTGACAAACTGGAACGTGTCCAGAGGAGGGCAACCAAAATGATCAAAGGCCTGGAAACGATGCCTTATGAGGAACGGCTAAGGGAGCTGGGCATGTTTAGCCTGGAGAAGAGGAGGTTAAGGGGTGATATGATAGCCATGTTCAAATATATAAAAGGATGTCACGTAGAGGAGGGAGAAAGGTTGTTTTCTGCTGCTCCAGAGAAGCGGACACGGAGCAATGGATCCAAACTACAAGAAAGAAGATTCCACCTAAACATTAGGAAGAACTTCCTGACAGTAAGAGCTGTTCGACAGTGGAATTTGCTGCCAAGGAGTGTGGTGGAGTCTCCTTCTTTGGAGGTCTTTAAGCAGAGGCTTGACAACCATATGTCAGGAGTGCTCTGATGGTGTTTCCTGCTTGGCAGGGGGTTGGACTCGATGGCCCTTGTGGTCTCTTCCAACTCTATGATTCTATGATTCTATGATTCTAAGTAATTTCAGTGTCTCCATCCAATAAGATGCAGCCTCACCTGGCCAAGCTCTCCTCACCTCGCACCTCTGCTCTCCTTCCCAATCATCTCCAGTGACGGATGTGTTAAGAAACCAGGAGAGCAACGATGCCCCACATGTGCAGCCTCACTGGCCACTGGTGTGTATCACCAACTATAAACTTGGGACGCAGAGCATGCCAGCAATTTCACGTGTCTGGAATTTAAGTCTGGAATGAGTATCTTCTAAATGCAATATGGAAAGCAAGGCAGAGGTATTTTGGGGCACAGTTCACCAGGCCCTGCAGATCTGAATTCATTTAAAGTAGCTAGGTGTTTCCTTACCACCTCCTTTCCTATCTTGGGCTGTAGCTCCCTCCTTACATCATTTAATATGTCACCACCAGGTCGGGGATCACTTTCGTTGTGAGTTAGAGATAGAGGCAAAGGGACTTCCGGTTCAGCATGAATGGCGAATGGATTATGGGTTTGACAGCTTCGTCAAACTTGGCTCTATGGAGGACCAAGGGGGATGTGCCAAAGTGAGCCCCCCCCCAAAAAAAGTCTCAAAAGTAATTGGAAATATATAATTGGAAAGAAGCTAATGCACATACATCAAGGTGCACATTTGACAAGGTGCCCCATGATATTCTTGTAAAGAAGCTGGTAAAATGCGGTCTTGACTATGCTACCACTCAGTGGATTTGTAACTGGCTGACTGACCGAACCCAAAGGGTCTCATCAATGGTTCCTCTTCATCCTGGAGAAGAGTGACTAGTGGGGTGCCACAGGGTTCTGTCTTGGGCCCGGTCTTATTCAACATCTTTATCAACGACTTGGATGATGGACTCAAGGGCATCCTGATCAAATTTGCAGATGACACCAAACTGGGAGGGGTGGCTAACACCCCAGAGGACAGGATCACAGTTCAAAACGACCTTGACAGATTAGAGAACTGGGCCAAAACAAACAAGATGAATTTTAACAGGGAGAAATGTAAAGTATTGCACTTGGGCAAAAAAAATGAGAGGCACAAATACAAGATGGGTGACACCTGGCTTGAGAGCAGTACATGTGAAAAGGATCTAGGAGTCTTGGTTGACCACAAACTTGACATGAGCCAACAGTGTGACGCGGCAGCTAA